TCAGCCAACCAAGGCTCTCAACACGACCTGCACGGTATCACCCCCATGATATACAAACAGTTTTCAACTTTATTCCTAAAGACCGCTGGAGGAGAGGGAGACCTCTCCCCACAACCCATACCCGTACCAAAGCTATTTCCGCTGTCCGCCGGCCTCGCACCGCGAAGCACCAGCCCCACGTGTCCGCACGGAGCCCCCGCCGGCGGGCAGGGCCGCACCGGAGCGTCATCGCCCGGCGGGCGGGGGCCAAGGGCCCTGCCGAGAAAGGCCGCGGAACACGGCGGGCGACCGCGGAGTGAGAGGCGCCGCCCGGCCCAGCCAGAGACCGGCGCCCTCCGCCCGCGCACCTGCCGCGCCCCGCAGGAGGCGGCCCGGGCCCGGCACGGCCGGCGGCGATAGGGCCGCGCCTCGCACCGCCCCTCGGGGGCCCGACAGCCGCCGGCCTCCTGCAAGCGGCGCCCCCGGAGGGTGGGCGCCCGGCTCGGCATGGCGCCACGGAGCTGCGCCCGCAGCAGGGGACGGCGGCGGGCGGGCGAGGGGCTGCGGCGGCCGGTCCCACCTGTCCTGCCGGGCACGCGGGGCTTGTCTGTATCTCACCTGCTCGAGGCCAGCAGCCCCCAGCGTCGCCCACAAGCCCTCTCGGCGCGGGGACGGCACCGAGACAGGGGTGCAGGGGAAGCGCCCTCAGCACCGCACCCGCCGATCTGGCCCTCGCCGGTGCCGCTCCCGCCGCCGAGGACGAGGCCCAGCCCGGCGGGGACCGCGGGGGCGGAGCCGGAACGCGCGGACTGACGCGCGCGCCAGCCAACTGTCGCCCCGCGCGGGAGCGCGCGCCAATGGGCGCGGGCGGGGCGGGAGGGCGCGAGCGCAGGTGCCGCTGCGCCGGCCTTGGCCACGCCCTCCCCGCCCGCGCTCTTGGCGCCCCCTGGCGGCCCCGGCTGTGGTCTCCGGGTCCGGCCGGACCGCGGGGCCGGGGAAGGGTCGGGGGAGCGGGGCCGGCTCTCGGGGTCCCGCATAGCCCGGCCGTCCCGCAGACCACCGCGCCCACGCTCCCTCCCGTCCGCGACCTAGCCCCGAGGGCAGGGTCAGAGAGGTGCCGTCCATCCGCTCCCCTCGCGGCAGCACCGGCTGTGCTTTGCCCTTCCCATCGACGAACCTCTCGGAACCCCCACACCGAACCCGGGCCAGGGTTCAGGTCCGGGCGTTGATGCTCCAGGCCCCGGCAGTGACCTGACAGAATACTGTGTGTTCTTCCAAGGACATTTAAACAAGGCTTTGTGGACCTCTTGAAGATACTTTATTGATACTTGAAGATACGAGGCGAAAGAAAAGTGCACCTTTCGCTGATTGACAGGTTCCCTAAAAGCCCCATTCAGTGCAGGGCTAAATCCAACCCCTCACACCGGGCTCCAGTTTTGCACGTTAGAGAACAAAAGCCAAGTCAGAGTACCTGGAGGAAGCTCCAAGATACTGCACGATGCCCAAACTACGTTGAGAACGCATCTTTCCAGTCTCCTGGTTGCTAAAGGTTTTCAATCAGTATCAAAGTTTAAACATCTTCAGACAGCCCAATTAAACTTGTACAAGCTTGCTTTTCAAAGCAGAAAGATTCAATTTGAGAATAAACTATAAAAATTGACAAAGATTTGAGATTTGCTTGTGAGTACTGATACAACTCCAATAACCACATCAAAGCCAAATGCACTATATGGGAAGGTATTTTCCCTACATTTCTCTCCCCCTCAGAGAGGCTGAAGAATTAAAATAATTTCATGTGAATCACCAGTCATTTAACAGACTATTTTTGAGTTTGTCCTATTACTACTGTCACTACTTTCATACTACACACACTTTTCCTCTAAAACTTCCACCATCAGCTCCCACTAAAGCAAGAGTAAAGTATTATCTGGCAAAATGTTTTCCTCTCTGTATCACTGTGCCAGGACATTAAAACAGCAGTTCATGGGCTACAGTCCTCTTTAAAAAAATATACATCAGTTAATCTCATTTCTACAAGAATTCAGGGGAAAAAAGAGTCTGAAGACTAGTTACTTCTTATCTGAATGATTATGAGATTCCAAGTTAGAGTTTCCAAACTGATACCTTATGAACTGTAAAATGATGATGTCTCCTGCCCAGGCAGGTCTCATGCAGCACAGCAGGACAACCTCTGAAATCCTGGGTATAAACCCTGCTTTGCCGAGAATGGAATCGCTCAGCATCTGCTCCTCTTGAAGCTGTCAAAATACAGACTGGAAGTCTTTGTTTTGTTCTGTTTTGTTTTTTGTTCCTGTTTTAGGTTTCAGTAATGTACAGCACCTTAAATAACTTATATTAATAAATCAGCCAGCACCCTCTGGTGGAAAAAGCCACATAGACAAGTAATGTTACTTTAGACAATGTCATTAGCCATATCATTTCCCAAAATTTTAATGAAATGTTTCTGTCTATAGTTCAACTGAGTTTTGATTTAATATTAAATTTTTCCTAAACTGATGCACAATTGTAATATGCTATTTCATACCATTCCTGAAATGTAGCATCCATGGGGTCAGGCTTCATTTTTTCTGCATGGTTATAGCAGAAAGAGAATAAATTCAGTATGTCATGTTCACTGGCTATTCCAGCTTCCCCTAAAGCTGTTTCAAGAAGTCTGCATTATGAAAAGTTAAACAATATGGCTGCATGTACACAAAGATCAAGTAAATAGAACTGTGTTTTTTTAACCTAAACAAACTTTTATTCCTTAGCCTTCTTAAAAAAACTTCTGCACAAAATCTTCGCCTTCTATCTCCTGCTTTGCTAAGAATGGTATTTTATAGCATTTTTTAAACAAGTATACAATCTCTGAGTCAGTTTTTCCCTTGATGCTGAATTCAGAAGTGCCAGCAAAGATGAGAGAAGATATTTCAGAGCATTCATAAAATTAGAATGATTTGGTTGGAAGGGACGTAAAAGTTCATCTCTTTTCACCCACTGCCATGGGCAGGGACACCTTCTACTATCCCAGGTTGCCCCAAGGTGCATCCAGACTGGTCTCGAACACTTCCAGGGATGGGGCAGCCACAGCTTCTCCAGGCAACCTGTGCCAGGGCCTCACCATCCTCACAGGGAAGAATTTCTTCCCAATATCCCCATCTAACCCTGCCCTCTGGGAGTGGGAAGCCATTCCCCCTTGTTCTGTTCCTCCAGACCCTTGTCCAAAGTCCCTCTCCATCTCTCTTGGAGACCCTTTAAGTGCTGCAAGGAGCTCTAGGGTCCCCCTAGAGCCTTCTCTACTCCAGGCTGAACACCTCCACCTATCCCAGACCCCATCCAGAGCAGAGGGACTCCAGCCCCTGACCATCTCTGTGGCCTGGATACAGTGCTCCAGGTGGGGGGGGGGGGTCTCAAGAGAATTACTTTAGTTTATGCAATTAAGTTCTTTTACTGGATATCTCTGCTGAAATAACCTTTCTACATTATTAGGGAGCAACTCTAAACAAGCAGATAAGTTGAAGTTTAACCACACATACTGTACTATGGCACTGTAATTATTGCCATGGATTGCAACTTTAAATGAATACGAACTATCCAAGGTCAATGGTGTATCCCTAGACAGAACTAAATAAAGTTGAAATCCATGCAACAAAAATGCATCATAAGGTTAGCTAGAAAGAAAGGGAGTTAAAAGAAAAACCGAATAATTTCTAAGTGTTAAGTGCAAAGGGTATCAGAATTATTCTATTAGTTGGAGACATTTTTAAAATCTTAAAATAATCTGATACACACCACCATAACTTCCCTTATTTCCACATCTTCATATGGACAAAACTAGCAAAGCAGTTCTTTGAAACTGCCAGTCTGTTTGCACAGGCAAGTGACCTATGTAATCTCCCATCTGGGTGCAGTGGAACTCCCCATCTTTGTACCATATTTTCCTCACTATACAAGGAGAGAAATCAATCTTCAGAAAGACTAGGCTGAAGTCTTCTGGTGTGTTATAAGTGGCTCTTGAAGTGAGAGACACCGTGTGTTACATCGTTTGAAAATTTGATTGTAACATCATCATTCCAGCTTTCTGTGACCAGCTTGGCAAGTTTTGACTCATTAAACCTACAAAGAGAGTTTTCTAATCTTGTTGCTTTGCTGATAGCCCTTCATTGTTTTCCCAAGTTTTTGTCTTCCAAAAAGCAGTTGTGTCTTCCACTTTTATTTGTTTTTCCATTAATCCTCAACAAGTCTGTTTTCTTACCATCACATCTCCCTTATAACTAGTCAGGGTCACTGTCCTTTCTCTACTTACTGTGTTTTCAAACAAGCACCTTTGTACTTTCTGTGATACTGCCTCATACTGATGAACCTCACAATATTGCCTCAAAACATCCTCCTTCAGAACCCTCCTTTGTTTTAATGACAGGAAAGAGTTCACTATGGCTGCTCTTTCCAAAACCCTTTTATCTTTTCCTTTCCTGCCTACATCTGTTGTCGTTGTTTTTATACAGTACAAGCCTTCTAAGGAAGTCATATCAGAACGTGTGTCTTGAACAAGGGTCTCATTTATAGTACCAGCAAAATACAGATGGACATTTTTTCAGAGCTCTGCCTTGGTAAGCTTTCTGTTGCACTCCATCATACAGAAGATCTTCCCTGATACTACTTCACCCTTTTTTCTGATGCCAGAACTTCAGTTATTTGGGAGAAAGGGAGATCTCTTGTGCCCATTCAGAGTTAATATACACGTAGTTCTTATGTAATAAGAAAAGAAGCTCAGTTTGATGGTGGATGTAGAACTATGAGTCTTCACAGAAGTACAAAACTCAAATATCAGCCATTCAGAACTAAACAGTGATGGCAAAAAAAAAGAAAAACGTTAAGAGTAGTTTGTTTCTAAAGATTTTTGATTCCTAGTTGGTACATGCGTATTAAAATGCAACTTTTTAATCACACTTCAGGAATAGCATCTAAAATGCAAACGCCTTAGTGATTAAGTAACCAAATGTAGACACTGACACCACAGATTTGCTCTAGAAGCATTTTAATTTACAAACAGCAATTCCGATTGACTTTATACCATAAAAAAAGCAATTTACAAGCAAGAAACAAATTCATCAGAACAAAAGAAAGCAGCACAGAAATATTCATGTCACAAATCTAAAACCAAAGTGAATACAAGAGTAAAATATCATTTGAATAAATATTTTAAAGTTCATGCTATAAAATAATTCTTAATGGCAAGTTACTAGATGTTACAGCATCAGCTTAGCTAGCTTCATTTACTTCATGGCAATGAAGTGCGAGGTGTGAGGTTCCCGGTTTATATTGCAAGATAATGACATCAAGTCAAGTCATTCAAACTGTTCAATTACTTATCATCAAAAACAACCATACAAATAAAAGTTTTTTAAAAATACAAATTTTCAGTCAGAAACAAATACTGTTAAAATCGTGCAAGAGCTCTACCTCTAACCAGACCTACAACCAGAGGCTCGCAGTCCGAGTCCAAAGGCTGAATTCCTGTGGGAATGAGAGTCAGCAGTTCTGGATCTGCCATGGCAGGAGTGAGCTACAGGAGTGAGAGGCAAAGCTGCTCAGTCAGAGATACGTGGCTTCACATCCCCTGAAGAAATACAGGAACACATGTCCCAGGCTTACTTGTTTGTTTAGCTTGTTTTTTTAATGTAAACTTGCGTAACTTAAGTTAATGCTGTCACAGGGATGTGCAAGTACTATTAAATCTACAATATTAAATACAACTATTCTGGCACTTGTTAAAATACATGTAAAATGCACAGAGATTATAAACTTTGAACATTTTGAATGACTTTACTAAACTTCCAATTCAATCACTGAGTTTTATGAAATTTACAGTTCGTGAAATAAAGAGATTCATACAAAGAATTTACATAATTCCCCAAATACTTTCAAATATAAAATTTAATAAATAACCCTGACCAGTCAAAAAGCACCATTCAAGGGTAAAATTCCCTTGGAAAATAGATTAGGTGTTGCATATTTGAGTCCCTTTCAATGGTTTCATGTGAAACCTCTTTAGAAAAATGACAATAAAAGAATCACAGTAAACTAATACAAAAATTCAAATAATATATATATTTAAAGGTAAAGCTCATTCAATAGTTTCCCAGCCCTTGATTTTTTTCCTATTGTTCTTCCCATAATTCAGCCTAAACATATTAAGAGGCCTCATTGCTTTGACTAAAAGTAAACCAAAGGCTTCAGCATAAACCATGAATTTATGCTGGGGAAGACTGCATTAAAACTCTCAATTTAGGCCTACAGTCTACCCTGCTGACAGTGAACTGACAGTATCCTTTATGCTACGGAAAGATTTCACACTAAGAAAGCAGAGCCAATCTTGAGGCCTTAATGACCAAAATGAACTTTTCATATACTGTAAGTATTTACAAAGCTATTTTCTAAATTTATTTACAAGCTTGAAAGATATAATATGGAAGATAATACGAAAGAAAACTAAAATAACAGTTTAAAACCACGGACATTAGCAAAGGTATAAAATCCTTTATTTTCACAGTTTGTCAAAATAGGTTAAGCATCTAGAAGAAAGGACACTGTCACTGCTTTCGCATTTGTCTGGAATTAAAAAGATAGATTAAGAAGAGACTCAATTATGAACCAGCCTATATAATTTCACCATTTATTTTGCTGTCAAATATTTCTTCACATATTTTATTGACTTCTGCATTTATTGTAAATGAAATGTGTAACAGCTCTGTGCTGAGAACTGGACAGACACAAGACACTGTACAGTGTTTCCATGGTTGCTAAAGAATCCCAGGCTCCTGCTCACTGGGTTGGTGACATGAATTCATCAGGTCACGTCTCGTGTCTGTGACAGTGTTTATCCTGGCACCCCATTGAGTGACAAGGCACAATGGAATTGCTGCTGCCAGGGGTGCTGTTGGTGTTCAGCAGAGCCCGGAGGGCCAGGCAGAGCTGGGCTATGGCTTGGGAATCAGGAACGCTGCCCCCAGGGAGGGAACGGGCACAAGCAGGGCAAGCAGGACCTGCATGTTGCTGGATCATGGGCTTGTATAGAAATGGATCATTTCCTGCCCCTTAACAGTCCTCTTACAATGGTTTGAACCTGAACCTGTACAATCAACATGATGGTTTTTTGTTTGCTTTTGTCTGAGACAATTTTGGATAAGTCACTCTTTGGTAAACTCAAACCATTTTATACATTTACAAATACAAAGAACTAGATTTAAATAATGTTAAGATTGTGACACAGAGAAATTCAAGAAATATAAAATTTGTACCCATATCCTGCTATTCTCAACTCATTCTTCCAGGGAAAAAGTCACACCAAAGGCACCACAGCACAGGTTCAAGATAAAGGGTTAGGAATAACTGTACATTTCTTGGATTTTGCATGTCTCAAACTTAATTTATCAAAACTCACCTTTTTTTTTTTTTTTTTTTTTTTGCATTTAATTGCTTAAAACAAACATTTAGGGAAAAACTATATCAGAAACAGCAACATGTTTTTAGGTGGGTAAACATACAGACTACCTGCCCTAGACACAGACTATCCCTTCCCTTACTGGAAACAAAAGTTCTGTTGTTGCTTCAAGGAGAGAAACTTCTCCCCACCCTCCGCCTCTTTATTTAGGTAGTTTTGGGACAAAGAGGCAAATGATGTACCCGATTTAACTGAAACTGCTCCAGTGGAGCAGGTGGGGTTATACTGTAAATCCACATTTTGTGAAATTAATTCTTATTGCAGACTGTCACAATATTAAGAACTAGTGTATTTAATAAAGCTACTGCACAAATATGCCCCAACTTCACAGAGGCCAGAAAGCTTTACAACATAGCAAATCTACCTTTTTGCTTTCCCATAATTTAGAAAACCTCTAATTTTCTAAATTTCAGGAGTTAAACAGCATCTTCACAGACGTATTTTTAATAACAGCTAAACAAACATAAGACCCGATAATACAAAACCTGTATTTTAAAGAATTATGTGATTAATTTAACGATCAATTCTGTTCATCAGGTAGAATTCAGGTAGAATGTTACACAGTAGTGTTTGCCAGTCCATGCTTTTGAGGTCTCTTAAGCTATTGGTTTTCTGTGGTATATTTTTTGGGTTTGTTGTTGTTCGTTTGTTACTGGCTTTGGGGGTTTTTTAGGGGGTGGTTTGTATAGGGTGGGGGCTTTTGATTGTTTATTGTTAGGGATTTTTTTTTTTTTTTTTTTTTGCTTAACTGTTACTATTATGTTTCACATTTTATATATTATACTGACCTAAACGATGAAGTTAGCACCATATTAAAAACATATATTTGGTGAAACAAAAAGATTTAGAGTATTTTTAAAGTTGTTGGTAGCTCCTTTATGCAGAAAACAACCACTGAAATCATAACAGAGAAGCCATAGCAACTCTGTAATACTCACACATGAAATAAAAGACATATTGCTCAATATTCCCGTAGAGTATTTGTTTTTTTTATACAAAAAAAAAGTACAAATTCCAAGTGCTGGAATATCACTTGGAGCTTTAAGTAGGAAGTCAACGTGCACCTGAAAACGGTTCTCTGTGAAGAGACCTATTAAAATACTGCTTGGAAATACTGTGGTTGAAACTACATCTCCCTCTGGTTTTAATCAACCATGAAGAGTGATGAAGTTAAATTTAATTACCTGGTATAGTTCTACAGTACGAAATGAAGGTAGATTCTGAGGCCAGCCAAAACACATTTAAAACCACAATGCTACTTTCAGGTTTGCTAATATTTTTATATATATATATATATATATATATAGATATATCTATCTCTATATATATAAAAAGGTCAGCACCACAGGTTGTCCAGCTTGCATTCTAGACAACTAACAAAACCCTCAGCAATTTAACCATAATTTAATAGATTTATGGCATTTGGTTTACATATGTAATAAAGCAAAGTTATTAAAACAAGGTAATTCGCTTTGCTCACTTTTGCACACAAAGTAATAGTTTAATAAAATGAAAACCAAACAACATTCATTTAAAACCAAAACCATCCTCCCAAAGTCTAAATTCCTAAACCCTAAGCAGAGAGGAGTCCTAGTTGAAAGAGTGGTATATGGTATCAGCCTTGACATACGTTTACATTCACCTCAACCAGAATAGCAAAGTGAAAGCATTTTATATATATAAAGCAAATTTATATATATAAACAGACTCACTACTAAAACCAGTTAGTAAGAACAAAGAGATTTCATCGTGATGCAAGAAGAACCAAAGCTATGATATTCTCTCTCCCCACTGCTGTGTAACTCATTACCAGCAACAGGATTTCAGAAAAAAAGGGAACTTACAGCTTTTTGGAGCATCCAGCAGAGCTACCAATCTTATTCTAATATCTTTCTCCACTGGACTTTGTGTCTCGCCAGATCAATCAATAGGGACACTTCAGAAGACTCTTCCTATCTTTTCCCCAGCACAATCCTTATGTTCTGAGCATCTTCAAAAGTGTAAAACAAACCCCAAACAACTCAGCCTCCTCCAAAAACAAAGAATACTTGCGTAGTCTTCTCCAGAAACCATTTTTAACTGATTTCCAGAAGGTCAGGAAAATTAAAAGCTGTTATACTTGTACTGAAGATTACTAAAAGAATGAAATGCTTAAATAATACAATAGTAGTGTGCTTGTCTGTGTTGCCCTTAGAATGTAGTATTTTAATCAGATGTGTTAGACATTGCATGAATTTCCATACTAGAATCCATGGCTTCAGAAGCTGAAGCATCGTTATCTACTTTCTGTTCCACAAACGCTTCTGTTCTGTCTGGAGACTCGACCCTGTTTCTCACTTCTGTTACCCCAGGGTGATTTTTTCGCAAGTGCTGGTTTAGTGTACCCTGGAAAGGAAAGCATTTACCACAGATCTCACAGCGAAAGGGTTTGTCATCTGTGTGACCACGAATATGATACTCAAGTTGGTCCTTACGGGTGTATTTCTTTCCACAAAACTTGCACACAAAAGGAGTTATTCCCATGTGCAATCGCATGTGTCGATCAAGGCTCCCTTTCTGGTTGAAAGACTTTCCACAGTAAATACAAATTAGCCTTTCATTGTATGGATACCAGTGACCTCTTGCATTTCTTTCCCGTGGACTATTTTCATATCCTGGATTACTCACCATGGATTCACTGTCAGCCCCTTGCACCAAGCCCTGGACATCACTATGCAAGTGACCTGGAGGTACTCGTTTTTGGCGTGCACGACCCCCTCTGAAACAGCTCAGCATTGACCTTGAAGGACTCGTATTGCTCAGGCTCCCAAAGGTTTCTGACACACCTGTAGCCTGGGATGAGGCATGGGTAAATGAATAAACATGTTGTAAGACAGACCCATAGGAACCAACATTTACTGCCACCACCTGCTCTCCGTCCACCATTTCAGTGTGATATCCGTCATCCCCGAGGGAAGAGCTGTCAGAGCAGCTTGGCCTGTCAGACTTCTCCATTTTAACTTTCACCTCTGCAATTTGACTTTCCCTTACTATCAGGTCTCCTTGCTCATGATCACCTTCAATCTGAATCTCATATTCAGAGATACTCCCACTGCTCCCTCGGTCTGAATGTCCTTCTTCTTGCAGACGACTCCGTAGAGTTTTGCCTGGAGTAGCTTCTATCCGCAGATCACTGCCTGCTGTTGGCTGTCGCACCTGAGAGCAATAGGGAGGAGAGATCTCAATAGGGTTGGCAAAGTAGCTGCTGTCTTTAACGCCGTTGCGATTCTCTGAATTTTCTTCAGCACCAACAGTGACAGAATCAACTTCACCAACAGTGATCTTTGAATGGATACTCTCCAGGATCTGCGTGCACTTGTCAATGACGCACTGCATCTGCAGGAAGCTGGCTGCAGTCAGAAAGCTGACAACGTCCTTCAGCTGCAAAGACATCCTTCCAGTGTAACAGAAAGAAAGCAACTGTTCAAAAACATTGGGATTTTTAATTACTGATATGGATAAGCCACTCATGGTACTCAATGCTGAATGGTCACGGAAATATGGAGAGCTGGCAGCTAACACAGCCTTGTGAGCGCGGAACGGTTGCCCCTGGATGTGCACGATTATGTCACAGAGCTTCCCTTGCAAGCGGAGTTCATTTAGCTGGCTCAGAACAGTGCTGCTGTACTCGGGCACATCAAACTGAATGAAACTGCTGCTGTCCATTTCTACTGATGTAAAGAGTAATCTGAAAGAAAAATGCGAAGATTTACAACTGAGAATAAATATGGAGTTTTCCATTTTAAAAATGCTTGCAGATGTTTAAGTTAAACCACCTCACTGATCTGTTAAAGGTGCATTACAAAATTTTAACCATAGATACCTGATATAAAAAGAGAGTCCTAATCTGTGCATTTCTTGCATTTCTATAATTTGAATTACCCCTCTGTGACATTCACAACTGAATTGCTCAGAAAACATGACAGGCTCCCTGAGACAGTCTGTGTCCTCAAAGAAACTTTACAGTTCCACTCCCTGGCAAGAAGTGCAGAACAATACCTCCACCCTTCCAAAAGAATACCAATTTTATAGCCATTAAGCAAGGTTAACATTTCAGAACCCTGAGTAGTTGTACAAGCCAGATACTACAGTGATACTTGCAAGGAACTGCATTGTTAAATTGCCCAAAAAATATTGTTGGAAGGTACTTCATGAAGTTTGAAAAACCTGCCAAAGAAATGCCACAGGCACGTGCATGGGCGTGTGCATTTGAAAGAAGAGTGTTTGAGCCACCCACGGACTTTCAATTTCTTAAAAAAATTTCTTTTGTGATTTATTTTTTTTTAAATAAACCATGATGTGAACTTTGTAGTTCATCCCATGTGACAGTGATTTCCTATCTAGAATGACTTGACATTTAAATTCTAACCTAAATTAAAAGTCATGGGTACTCAAACACCAGGAAAGGACTTCCAAGAGGCTTTAAAGAAATGTACAGAATTCCAACCAAGAGCTAAAGAAAAGCACTTTTCACAGAGTACTATTGTAGAAAGCACACACACTTGTCACCCTGAGAGTGTCTCTCTGTAGCATCACCTTACATTTCCAAGACTGGGCACTAATCAAGCAAGTGCCCAAGAATCTTCAGACTTTTATTGCTATTCTTGTTCTTATCAATGCAGAAGTATAAACACACAATATTGCCACCATACCTGCTTTTCCAATTGAACAAACAGATCTCAACATCATCCATTGACTTCAGATGCAGGAAGCATGTCCAATGTATCACAATATACTAGTGGATTTTTTTTTTCTATTATGCTACATGCTGTAATGGGACATATGAACAATTTAAATCAAATTATGAAAATTCAGGTATTCTAAAAACAAAATCAACAGGTAAAAATACACCAGAAGGCCTGAAAGGAAGAAGTGGAGCTCCGTCAGCTGACTTTCATTTAAAACTAACATCCATAATCTTCACAAATGGAACTTCTTTGCAGCGGACACAAAAAAGCCAGCTTCCTGACTGGACACTATCTCCAGATAACGAATACCTATTTAGAAAACTGGAAAAAACTCTCACAGAGCATTCAAAATCAAGTTATCAGAATTGCTAAATATGTTCTCTAAGTTATCAGTGTCATTGATTAAAATGGGTAAACCAGACTTCATTTGAGCTTTTGCAGTTGTGATGTAAAAAAAGGGGAAAAGATGTTTTTCCCACCTGTTATATCTGAGGTGGGAAATAAGGACTGCAAGATGGTTACCAGAAGCAATGCGATACCATTCAGAGATGGCTTGGGCAAGGACAGTTCTTTTATTCAGCAAACAAAGCTATGAAACGATTCAGAGTTGCAAGCTGATTTAAGTCAGAAATCAAACAGTACAACACACAACTAACCCAAGTCCAACAGTGAGGCAGTTACATGGCAAGATTAACCTTGTTATTCTGAGCATCCCTGCATGCTGTGCAGAGAACCACTATCCCAGTCCCATGAGGAAGACAGGAATCCCAGCAGTTGGGAATCACTTGTGTCTGACAGGGCAGCAGGCTTCTTACAAACCCAACAGAGTTCACTACCTTTGATTTGTGGGGCTTATTAGCTACACAGAGATAATACCAGCCACTCCTGATTAATCATTCATGATTCTCCATGCTAAGTGGAGGAAGAACTTCTGCTGACCTGAAGTGACATGAATTGACAAATTACGTGGGTTGAAGACTGTGTACAAACTAAAAGACCAGTCCCCAGCAGCAGTAATTTGTCATTCCTGTCTAGGATGTATGAAAAGTTTGTCTCACACAGATAGTGGGCTTCTTCCTTGTCCCGTACTTCTGTAAGGGCTCTTGCTTAGCAAAATCAAGAACAACTTACTCCTAGAGAAAATATTAAAATACAGATTGTCACCACTAGCACTGGTCCAGACAGAAGGAATGAACTAAGGATAGGGACCTGAGTGGAAAAAAGATGGACATTTTATGCCTTACCATGGAGAAAAAAAAATATGTTCTTTTGATCATGGCATCTTGGCATCTCTAGATGAATTCACAGTTCTGGGACACAGTTACACATTGAAAATGGAAACACATATCAGAGAAAGCGTGAGAACCAGGAGGGAAGGACACCAAGGAGAAATGGAACCAGGGTGCCACTTGCACATTATTGCTCTGTTAGAACATTCCCTTAACTCCATATGCATATACATATCTATAAGTAATTCCTTGTTCTCAGAGTTGTTGCATCTTTCTTTTGGGAAACAAAGCGGCTTATTTTGCTAAAGATGCTAGGAGTAAACAGCACAAATGCTGGCAGTGAGCGCAGAGGATGATGGAGTTAACGGTCTGTAAGTCTGGCTGTCAGTGCACCAGAAAAGCAGTAAGAAACAGCAACAGGGATCAAGGGAATATACAGTGTTGTTTTGAAAGCAAGTAAACAGGTCCAGTACACAAAAACAAGCCCCAAAGCTCTAGCTATTATGTATCCAAGAAACTGACTGAAGGCACAGGCCAGAACTGGACACCAGGTTCACTAAGTCCTAGCAGGGCTCTGTGTTGAGCCTCCTGTGTATTTCTGTAGATTATCCAGTCGCACTTAAAAGAATCATATAAATTCTCTTTGCATCTGCATTATCTTCATTCATCAGGGTTTTATACAGCAAATGTAGGCCACAGAATGAATTTACTAGCAGTGAATTGCTGCCCTACATCTTCAAACAAAAGTGTTCATCGAAGTAACCTGTGAACATCAGAGTGATAGACATTTAATATTTCTCATTAGATTTTGAAAGAAACTTACTTTAAAAATTATGTTCTATGAAAGCTCTTTTTTAATTTAAAAAAACAAGAATAGATGGTGACAAATCACACTAGGTATTTAATTTTACTGACATTAGGAGTAGCAGCAGGGAAGCGTCATATAACTACAACATGAAGCTGTGTGCCTGCCAACATCGTATTAGTTTCTGCTTCTAAGTCTGCACCTGTTTAATTTCCTTCATTCACTGAAGTATGATTCACCATTCTCACAGACAGGTGAATGATACAAATTGCGCTCATTCTAACTTACACAAAAGTGTGAGAAAAGATCCCTTGCATTTTCTTAAGTTAGCTCAGCAACAAGGGATCATTGGGAAAAAAAAACACATTAAAAACCATTACTATTGTAGCATGTCTGAAAACAGGAATACATAGAAAAGCTAGGAGGGTCATAATGAAAATTAGGACAAAAACAAAGCAAAGTGCTCCATGACACCAAGAATGCCTCTCCCAGACAAAAAGTGACAGGACAGGAGGAAACAGCCTCAAGTTGTGCCAGGGGAGGTTCAGGTTGGACATTAGGAGGAATTTCTTCATGGAAAGGGTTGCCAGGCATTGGAAGGGGTTGCCCAGGCAGGTGGTGGAGTCACCATCCCTGGAGGTGTTCAAGAAATGACTGGCCATGGCACTCAGTGCTCTGATCTAGTTGACAAGGTGGTGATTGGTCACAGGTTGGACTTGATAACCTCGGAGGTCTTTTCCAACCTTAATGATTTTGTGATAGTCCCTCCATATATTACTGCTCAGAGTACAGAGAAAAAGCATGAAAACAAACACGTATTTATATAGAGCAGTGCACTTCCCCCTTTGTAGGGGGGGATTTTGTGCATTTTGTAGGAGTCAGTATCTGCTACACCATCTGTGTGAGAACTCAAGACATCACTGCAAATATATATCATCATTCAAGAGAATTTTAACCTAGGAATGTAACCCCTCAGCTGTGATCATGGAAGTTTTTGGGCAAAGATCTTCATCACTCTCACTCATTTCAGACTGCATTTGCATTAGTTTTCAGATTTACAGCAGCCACACTAATTAATTCCAGCTGTATCCAGGAAAAACTGCCATGGGGTATGTCACAGGCTACAGGGGGTCTCTAAGACACTCTTTAAATAATTTTTAAAAATAGGGAAGAGACTGATCATAGAATATTTTCACCAGTTTATACCTCTCATAACAGTAAAGTATTAATTATCTTTCAAAAGTCAACATATAGTACCCTTGGATGGTTTTAAGCAGTGTGCCATGCAGCACTACTGCTTCACTGCAAATCCAGCCCCAAAGGAGGAGCTTCCCCACCTTTGGAAAACAGATTTTAATACTGCACCCATTAAAAAAAAAAAAAGAAAAAAAAGAAGATGAAAAAACCCCATAGTCTCCCAGCAATTGAGATAATTTTGAACTACAATAAACTTAGAATAATATAACCAGCAAATGCTATGCAAATATGTAGAACTGGGTTTTGCATCAATTCTTCACTTCTTCTGAAGTGCCCATCAGAATCAAAGAAGAAATTGACAGTTTGCCCAAATTATCTGTAGGAAAGCATACAACAATACAACGAAGAGTGCATGTGGACTATTACTCATTAGAAAACAACTTTGAAAGTCAGTTTGCTTCAGTTCTATTTTAGACTACAATACAGAATTTGATAGAGTAGTGAAGACTACAAAACAATTAAAAACTTTGTTTCTTTACCTCTTCAAAACGCAGGAAATGCCCAGTTTCCTCAGAAACTGAAGCCAGTTCGTGTGGGTTGAAATATAGTTACTAGAAAGCTTATTTCTTGCACACTTCCATCAGTAAATATCAGAACACTCCGGTGAAAGTTATCATCCTCCCTGTGCAGCCAGAGAGGCCATGGTCTACCCTAAGTACTGAACACCTGCAGTGAAGCCACGAGCGAAGGTCCAGCCTGGCAGGTGAGCTCAGTGCTGCAGGACACAATGCCACCAGCTGCCCAGGGAACAACACAGTGACTCCTAGCACTCGGTTCAGAAAAGCTTTACTAATTCAGACTTTTGTCTAACAAAAATTTAAATTTATAAGGATTTATTTTTACCTCACCAAGGTTGACAACATGATGAACAGAAAACCACTTCAAAGAGTGGATGATTTTAATATCAAAATACAACCAATTTATTTATATGTATGCACATGCACACATAGACATATGCCAATACCAGTAACACTACAAACCCATTCTCAGTGGTTAGCATGGTGCAGCAGGGAAATTGTTGAAACTGCATATTTAGCATTTTTATAGGGGGTAAAAAAAAAAAAAAGAGAGCTTCCTATTTGAACAAATATCCAAAGCAAGCAGATGTAAAACTGAAGTCCAAGGGCCACCATCATCCCTTAGTTTCTAACTGTTTTCCTCACAACTGCTTGCCTGTGTGAAAGTGATTGAAAGAGTAAAAACGAAACAACCATCAATGCATAAAAAATGTTTCACCTAACAGTTAGAAACCTCAATAGAAATAATCTCTAAATTTTACCTCTAGAAGTTAAATTACTACAAAAGAAGTTACAAGTATGTGTTTATTTCTGAATGCAGAAAAAAAGTCACTAGGAGGCAAACTGGAGATAAGCCAAGATCAGAAGGTCCTTGCCAACTGAAACTATTCTGATTCCAATACTGACAAAAGTATTGCGTCAGACAAATAAAACAAAGGGACATGTTGGTGATACATACACTTCAAATCAGCGAGATCTTACAAGTAACTATCAAAAACTTTTATTTTATGCACAAATTTCATAATATCCCTGTTATGTAATGCTAAATAGTCACATCTGAATATCTGACAACTTTGAGACGTATGCTTGGAGAAGCCACTTTAATTATAAAAAACCACCAGCTTATATTTTGAGACTCAGGATATAAATGGGCAGAACTTTCACACGTGGGGAATGAGAGGAGGGGGAAAGGGCTCTTGAATCTTCTGCTATCACAATATTATTTACTACCAGGATAGTACTTCATCACTATTGTGCATTTTAGTCCATCCCCTTTCCTTTTTTTTTTTTTTTAAAGCCCTAGTCACTCTTCAGCAAATCATAACTTTTTGGCTTCAATGTTTCTTTTAGGCAATGAAGTAACTATGTTCTCTAGAGACACGAGCAACATTTTTGCAGTAGATTTACAGTAGCTGTGAAGAGCCATTTTAACGGTATTTTTCCAACCCGTTACTTGGGACAGATGGAACAGTTTGTAGCTGTCCCTAGACAGGCGATGAAACACAGGCACATTCTGACACAGATGTTGAGAATTCTTTATCGACTGCAGTGCAGTTAATCATCTGCGGGGGTTTGGAAAGATCTTTGTATTACAGAGATTTGGGGTTCACTTAGAATTTCCACTTCCTCTGACGGAACAGTAGCGGCTGAAGGGTCCCAAATGTCCTGGTAATGAACACGTCCCCGAAGGGACCGGGGACATGACGCCTAGCCCGAGGTAACAGCAGACCCCGACACACGCGCGCCCGACCCGCTCCCTCCGCGGTAAAGCTGCACCGGAGACACCGGCTCGGGGGACGCGACAGCCCCCGGCGAAGCGCGGCCGGGCCAGAGCAGCCTCGGCGGAGCCGCTGCCGCCGCTCTAGGCGGCCGAGCCGAGTCCCGGCCCGCGGCCGCCGCTCCCACGGGGCCTGTCAGGTGCCGGGACACCCTCCCCGAGCACGACCCCGTCTCGCCCGGGAGCGCCGCGCCCGCCGCTCACCTGGGGCTGTCGGGGGCTCTCACATGGCGGGTCCCTGGCCGGCCCGGCCCGTTCCCACCGCCGCTTCCCGCCCGCTCCCGCAACCACTCGCACCCGGAACTGATTCCGCTGGCGGCCGTTCCGCTTCCTGGTGCCGCCCCGGCAGCGGGCGGAGCCCCGGGGCCGTCCGGGAGCCCGCCCCACGGCGCTTCCCGGGGCTGGGCGGAGCCGCCCTCTCGGCGCGGCGCCTCACGGAGGTAGAAGGATTTGTGCTGTGGCCGAATCCGGTGTGAATACGGGTAGAGCCGCTCCGAGAACTCCCACGGGGCAGCTCCAGAGAACAACACACGCTCAGAACCCCGCTGGGCATTTACAGATGCAATGAGGAAGCTTTTGAGGGAGAACATCCCCCACTCCAGCTGTGAATTACCACCTTTATTGAGCAAAGAATTAAAAAGTTCACCTGTGTTACGCTGTCCCTGTAACTCACACAAATCACCTCAGCATGCATGCACAGGGGGTTTTTGTTATCCTGCACATACTTGAGGTTCAGGTAGTGAAACGACTCAGTGTTTTACCAGATAGTTGATGTACTACTTGATAAAAGTCAGAGTGACTGGTGCAGTAGGTCCTGCTGGGATTTCCACCTGGTCTAATTTTGGACACCACATTCTGTCTTCTGAAGATATGTCTTTCTCTCCCTATAAAACACAGAACGCAGTCTTCAGAAACTAGACATTGAATGCTGATCAGATAAAGCAGTAGCCTGGGGAGCATCCTGAGGAGGGCACAAGTAATAGCGCTAAAGAACACACACACACACAAATTGTATTTGTTCACTCACATAAAAGAAAAACAACTAATTCTGAACAGGCAGAAAACTTTGGGCTTGTTCTTACATGCATTCAGTAAGTGCAACCAACAGCAACAGAAAATTAATTTGCTTGTGCCATAGTCCATCTGATTTTACTGAGGAGAAGTACTGAGGACTGAGGAGCCTGGTACATAAATATTGCCTTCTCTAGGAATTAGCTGAACATGCTTTCAGTGAGAGTGAGTTCATTTTTGCTTAGGTAGCAAGCAGCAGCTGGGACAGTTCCACAAGCGCAGAGCAGATAGAGGCTGGACAAAATTAATTTTTCGGTACAAGTATTTGAATTTAGTCAGGGAGAGAAGGAATCCTCACAGGAAGATAAGGGAGACTTAGTCTTCATACTTTTCCCAGTATGAAATTTCTTTCATACTTAGACAAGAAAAAAAAAAAACCTATAGGCTATCTTTACCTACTTCAAATTTACCTGGAGGTTTTGGGGATATGCAGTTGCTGCTACTTCGTGTGCGTGTTTTGGAATTTCCCTATTAGCATGTACTTTCTGTATTGTAACTTCAGAGATCACCACTCTGCAAAAGACAGTTATAGCAAAACCTGTTTGATGAATTTGAACTAGCGTGGAAACTCATTACCTACAGCAGCAAGGAAATGGGACCAATTCTACAAATTCATCAAATTTGCTGTGTTACAAAAATCAGGTTTTAGTTTATTTTTTTCTTAGACCAGGCATGTTCTCATTATTTCAAGAAGACACATTACTAGATAAACTTTTTCTTTATATATTTAATAAAGTTATATATCAACAACTTCTGGATTTGTACTTTTCTTTGCACTTATTTTGGCAAAGTGGAATATTAAATACTAGTACTAGACATGCATTCCTTTCATTCAAGCTTAAGAAAACATTTACAAAGTTGACAGATAACATTTATTAAAACATGTTATACGAAAAAGGGGCATGGGACTCTTCTATAAGAAGAAAATATTGAACAGTAACATTAAATTAAAACCATGCTGTACAATTAGGACAGCAATATTTATAGACAAAACTATCCAACCTCTGCAATACAGGCATAACATCTCACAAAATATCAAGATATGCAAATTTACTATTATAAATGACTTGTTCAGAATAAAAACTTATAGCTCATTAAGGAAGATTCACTTGCATAAACAGCTACATTTCTGAAAGAAATATGGAATCCCATGAATAATAAAAAAAACGGAGCAGCAATTGACAGACACAGGCTTCAAGCAAAAATCAGAACTTGCTATTTAATCACATTAAAAATATACCATTTTCTTTTCCAGCATCTTCCCCTAGGCCACTGACAGTTTACAGCTAATAGCTAAAGAAGCCAAGTTATCTAATGAAGCAACTAAATGACAAAAAAAAAAACAACTTTCCTTTATTGTTTTGAGAAAGATCCTAATTCTGATAAAGCAAAATACTCGATATACTTCTCTAGGTCTCATAATTCAGAGACAGGTCACCTTGCTGGCACAAAGGACAAGTGTTGAGATTACAAACCCTGATGTGCCACCAGTCTTTCAGGCTCAATAATACAAAGACGTCAAGGATTCTTTTTATGAGAAACGTAATACATCAGCCTTTGATCATCTGCCTTCCTTATGATACAGAACAGTTTCTCAACTTCAGACACACCTCAGATGAAAAAAGGTGAGACCAAAAAATGTACTAGCAGTACCTTCTAGAGTCTATCTGCTCACCCATAAAACAAAGGTTAAATTTAAAAAAATGAAACAACAAAAAAACACACCCTGAAACAACACTGGTATCTGAAATAAGAACCTCCTCCCTCAAAAGGGTCTGATACACACCTAAGCAACCCTGCTAACAGTTGAATTTTTCAGAATGGCAGTTACACAAATTCCATGGTAATTAACATCTGAGTTACAAAATGGAATGAAAAGGAACTTAGCTGTAGTATCATCAAGTATTCTTACCACTGCTAGGACAACGAATGGCTTCACAGCAGTAGGAAATTCTGAAAGCCTCCTGTGTGTACAGTGATGCTGGTTTTCAGAAGAACTTTACTACAGCCAACAGCCACGTCATTGAAGGTAATGAAGCATAAGGGAAGATTAATGAAATTCATCGTATACATATGCATTTGTATTTTTTATTATATATATATATATATATGGATCACTTCCCTCCTCCCCGCAAACAAGAAATAATTTTTTGTACCTTGAACAAGACCACTCCATTAGCAAAGATTAAGAGCTTGACAGAAGCCTTGTCGGTGTATCTTGGCTATGTACAACTGCAGTGGCACTAGTAGCAGGGGCTGCAGGGGGGATGTGTGGCCAGAGTTTCTGAGCTGCCCTGTGCTAGTCAAGTGGGGTTCAGCCTGCACCAAAACAGATGTGGACAATACACTGCATGCCAAAATCTCAATCAGAGGTGTGCACATTGCCTCTGCTTAAACATATTTAAGGAAGAATGGTAGCTGCTAGCAAGAGGTGCAGGAGACACATAGGGAGAAGATACTCCTGGGGACATGTGGAGAAACTGAAGAGCTGCTCTTGGGAAAATACCTGGAGAAGTCACTGAGGACATGTATAGACATACTCACAGAAGGATATACTCTGTGTCTGAGGAGATTTACTTTTGAGAGGACTTTGGCCTACAGCTAAGCCATGCCAGAGCAGGTACACCTCTGAAGTAACTGAGGCCCACAGGAGAGCCAGACTGCAACTGACACATCCCTGAAGGGACTGTGGCCCGGTGTCACCATAAATAGTAACACTGACCAGCCCAGAGCACCAGAGGACACCCACTAAGAAATGCAGAGCATCAGACAAGGCAGTGTGCATACGAACCTCCTGTGAGACCTGTCACCTCACTACAGGAAAGGGCAGGGGCTGAATGCAACTCTTGGTGAAAGCAAGGGAAACTGAGACTACAAAGGCAGGGAAGAGAGGTGTTAGACTTTAGCTGAGCCTGAAGAAGGGTGAGGAAAGATGAATCTTTAAGTGTTTAAGTAATTTTTTGTTATTTGTTCCCCCCAGTACCTGAAATGGTGATTAGAAGTTTGTCAAAGGGCAATAAATTGAACTCAGGAAAAACACCACAAGACAACTGTTTCACCTGCACCATGCAAAAGTAAGGATTTTAGACATGTATCTCAAGCTGCCCTTAAATCATCAATCTTCTGAACTTGATCTCATGACAATCAGATCAGTATTTTCCTGCAATCAATTGGTTTCATGTAAATTAATATCAGAAAGCCAAGTGCTCCAAGATCAGTGGAACAACATTTGTTGGGCTTTCAAGACGATGCCGTAATATGGGGTAAAACAGCAATAGGCAAATACTAAAAGGTTACTATGCATGCTAAGTCATTAAAAAAGGACATGGTTCTATAATATGATCTACTGGACCTGTTATAAAACCTTTAAAGTGTCTCTCGCAGTACAATTTATTTTAAAGCTTTATTTCAAAGTAACCTAACTGCAAATAGAAGTAATGTTTAACCTTGAAATATCCCATATAAAAGTCATTCCAAGCTGGTAAAAGAAACAGTTTTGCTGGCAGCTCTGTAGGATGATCTGGGTTTGACAGACATATTTTTTGCCTGACCATGGTTTTCAGACTGGTGTTTCTGTCCAGCCTTTTTTATGGTTAAATGGGAAGAGGCACTCTTAACCTTTTTATGCAAAACTAAAGTGACAATTTCAAAGGGGCTAAGAACTAATGTAATATACAAGATCATTCTTGAAATGAGTATGTGAAGGAACACCCTGGACATATTCAAGGCCAGGCTGAATGGGCCTCTGAGCAACCTGGTCTAGTAGAAGGTGTCTCTGCCCACAGCAGGGACACTGGAACTAGATGATCTTCAAGGTCCCCTTCCAACCCAAACCATTCTATGACTGTGTGATTCTAATGCCTTCTCTCAAACGTGATAATGGTACTTGCAGAAATGACACCCTATATGTGGTAAGGCCT